TTCCAGTTTTGTTCTTTCTCCTGAGCTTCCACATCACCAAATGCCTTCAGCTTCAGACCGAACGTTTTATAAATGATTCCCATTTAACATGTCTAAAACAGAACTCTTTCTCTCCTCCCTCCTCACAAACCCACCACTCTTCCTGAATTTTTTCAGGCCTACAACCATGTTTCTAGTCACTCAAGTTCACAACCTCCAAGTTATCCTTTCTTTACTCTTCACTTTTCACCTCCTGTAGCCTACAAGTTGCCACATCTCACCAATTCTACCTGCATAAAATTTCTGGAATATATCTCCTAAGTGGTACAACAGATAGAGTGCTATACCTGGAGTCAGGAAGACTCAGTTCAAATCTGGCACTAGCTAGGTAATCTTGGGCAAGTCATTTCTCTTTGCCTCATAGTTATCCTACCTCACAGAATTGTTGTGAGGATCAAATGAGCTAATATTTGTAAAGTGTTTCGTATAGTCCTTGGCATATAGTAGGTACTCTATAAAGGCTAGCTATATGTTATTAATATTTATTACCTACAAAACCAGCAGTCCAAGTCAATCTCTCATCACTTCTGACTTGGACTACTGCAACAGACTAACTGGTATCTCTGCCAGTCTTTTCCTCCATACATCTGAGTAAGTGACATTCCCAAAGTTCAAGTAAGACTAATGTCATTTCATTGCTCAAAAAGCTTGTTGGGGAGGGAGGGGAGAGAGCAAAGGAAAAGCTATAGTGGTTTCCTCTTGATGCTAGGATAAATGAAAATACCTGTTTGGTATTTAAAGCCACTCCCAGTCTGTCTCAGGCCTACCTTCCCAGGTATGCTACCCCAGAGGTTTCGTAATTAAACTAGTGACACAATACCTTTTCCCTATCCCCCCCCCCTCCACACACACACAGAAGGAGAAACCTTTTAACAAAAAACAACAAGGAATTCATGGACTTTGTTATCCAGCCAAACTGGTTTACTCACTGCTCTTCACACAAAGTGTTCTATCTTCCATTTCTGTACCTTTGAAAAGCTGTCCCTCATTCAGGAATGCACCCCGTCCTGTCCACTGTCTCAAGGATGACCTCCTACAAGAGACCTTTCCTGACATCTCTTCTCATGCCCCCATTACTTTGTATTTACTTATTTGTGTACATGTTGTTTCCTCCAATTGAATTTAAGCTCCTTGAAGTCAAGGATTGTTTCCTTGGTCTTTGTATCCCCACACTTCCCTTGGAAATATACCAGTGGATTTTCACAGCAACTAAAATACTACTACTTTCCATACTGCTGAGCACAACCTGATTCATGCTGGTCCAGCTTGGACAGCTCCTATCCATGTCATCTCCTAAAGTCTGGAAAAGGTTGTTTCCTCATGTCGTCTTTACATTGTGTAGATCTAGAGGTTATCTTCCCCTGTTGTGGGGAACCAACCAGTCTTTTTTTTTTTTTTTGGCGAGGCAGTCAAGGTTAAGTGACTTGCTCAGAGTCACACAGCTAGTAAGTGTCAAGTGTCTGAGACCAGATTTGAACTCAGGTCCTCCTGACTCTAGAGCTGGTGCTCCATCCACTATGCCGCCTCGCTTCCCCAGCCAGTCTTCTTTTCTGGTCATATATTTCTCTGAAGACATCTTGCATCACTCTTCTTTGTAATCCCTCGTTTGTTGTTCCTAAAAGGAACTGTGCCAGTAAGATAACCTCTTTTTGTATTGAGTGTGAACTTAGTTTTGAATTGAACATTTTAGAATATCTCGAGTGACATAGTAGAAAGGAATGAATTCTAGACTCCAAAAACATTGGAGCTGAAGTGCACCTCAGCAATCTCTCTGTGGGGGGAGCCCCCCCCCCCCCGCTTTTACTAATGAGAAAATGGACCATTTGATTTACTCAGAGTTAAAGAAGAGACTCAGAAAACTGAGGCAAGAATTTAGGCTTCTTGACTTCCTGTTTAATACTCTTCCCAGAGAAGTGCCCGAATTGACAAGCAGGACTCAAATTAGCACCTTCTGACTGTCGGTTCGATGCCCTTGGCTTCATTTAGAATAAGCAGGCCTACAGATGGTCGTTCTTAGACCCCACAGTGAGCTCTACTGTTTGTCTAGTAGAAGAATAGCTTCCCTGTCCTTGGGAAAGTCGATGGCCTCAGGGGCTGCTCAGTCTGAAAGACTCCCCTCCCAAGCTACACTATTATGGCTCTTCATTGGCTGTTTCTTTCTCACTGTTGCCCTGCTAATTCCACCCTCTGTCTTCTATCTCCTCTCTGCTTCTCTTCTTTCTTGTATTTCCTGGCACATTTTCACTCTCCCATGCCACTTGGCTTTTCCTGGAAAAACCAAGGACTTGTTTTTAGTCTTTTATGGTTTACAAATTCTTCCCCTAAAACATGAGTTAGATAGATATTGCAAATATTTCTGTCTCCACTTTCTGCATGAGGAAACTGAGGAAAAATAAGACTTAACTCTGATATCTAGTAACAGGATCATGGGATTTAGCAGTAAAAAGTACCCAAGAGAGCATGTAATCTAATCCAGTCATTTTACAGAGGAGAAAACAGAGACTCAGAGATGTGATGGATTGCCCAAGATCACACATGTACTAAGTAGCAGAGCTGAGATTCCAGTACAGGCTCAGGGCTTTTTCCATTACACCATCCTGCTTACAAATTGTGCAACCTTGAACTAGTTCACTTCCCTTTTCTGGGCCTTAGTTTCTTTTCTGTAAAATGAACAAGACATTCCATCCTCACCCTTTGCGTTTGCACTGGCTACTCCCTGTCTGGAATATTCTCCCTTCTTGTCTCTGCTTTCTGACTTCTCTGGCTTCCTTCAGACCTCAGCTAAATTCCCCCTTTCTTCCAGAAGCCTTTGCCAACCCCTGTTAATGCCAGGGCCTTCTCTGGAAGTTGATTACTTCCAGTTTACCCTCCATACCTCTTGTTTGTGCAGTTGTTTGCATGTTGTTTCCCATTAGAAGGTGGGCTCCTTGGAGGCATGGACCATTTTTGCTTTTCTTTGCATCCCTTGCCTGGAACACAGTGCCTGGAACATACCAACTGCTTACTAAATGCTTGTTGAGTCATTTACTGAAGGGACTGCATTTAGATCATCTCTATAATCCCTTCTAGTTAGGATTTTCTGTGATCTAGCATGGTTGGTTCTGACCTAAGTCCATTACTCTTTCTGATACACCATGCTGCTTGACTATTCTTAGTCAGAACGTGTTTTCCTTTCCAGGGATGAAGTAGTCTGCTGAAGCTATATAGAGTTTTATCTCTGGATCTGTGACTGGAATTGGCAGTACAGATGTCATTATTGCTGAGTGCCCAAGGTGCAGCATTTAGGTTCTAGGGAACCTGAGATTTATGAGCTAGTGTTTAGACACAGTCTGTATACATTTATCTTTGTCATGTAATTGTACATGAATTGGAGTATGTCTGGTGTTGGAGCAGTTATCGGTAGTTTTAAGAGCATGACTTTATTACTTTGTTTGAAGATCAAACTCAGCTCCCCCATTATGCCCCATCAGCTAATCTTCCCCTTGTGTCTGCTCTGTGCTTAGGGGTCAACATCTGTTGCTGCTGCTGCTGTTTTACCCCTCACCTTGCTGTGTTCTTGGTTCATGCGTTCTCCATGCTGAAGACAATATAAGTGAATAGTAGAACTGGGCAAGCTGAACTACTCGCTGTCCCCCAAACATGCTCCATGCATCTCTCCTTCAACACTTTTACTAACTCCCTTGTCCCCAAAATGTTCTTTTTCCCCTTTTCACTTGTTGGGCTCTTCACCCATCCTTTTGCCCAAAGGAAATGCCACCTTCTTCATGAAGGTTTTTGTGAGTAAAAAAAAAAACAAACAAAAAAAAATCAAAAAACTTTTCACCTTAAACTTCATATATGCTTTGTTTTTCCCACTTAATTACACTTAGCCATAATATTGGTATCAGTTATTTTTGCATGTATCACACTCATTGATGGTAAAGGGAGGGGGTCTTGTCTTAATTTTTTATCTTTGCTGGTGCATAGCACAGTACTTTGTTTATTGTTGGTGCTCAATGAGAATTATTAAATTGACTTGAAATAAAGCCTGAAGTTATTCATAGTGTGGTGTAGTGTCAAGAAGCCTGGGTTTAGAGTCAGGAGAATTTGGTCTATAAACTAAAGGGCTTGGACTCTTTAAGACTTGAAGGTACCTTTCTGGCTAGCTACCAACACCTGTTAATGATATCCTAACACCCTCGGCAAGTCATTTCCTTTCTCTGGGCCTAAGTTTCTTCATCTGTAAAGTGCAGATATCTATACTATCTACTTCAGTTGGTTGTGAGGAAAGCCTTTTGTAAACTGGAAAACACCACAGAAATGGGGAGCTGTTATAAATGCCAGTAACCCATGATTTAGTTAGCAGGGCAGGTAGTTGTCAAGTAGGAATTTTGATGTTTTTCCAGAACTAATCATGTTGTGTGTATAAACACATATAATAATAGAATAGTGATTTAATACTTCTGTTGTTAGATATGGAGATCCAATATTATCTTCTGTCATGTATTGCATAGTTATTAGTGATTCAGAAGAAAAACTTGATTCTTGAATAATGAGTCATCATGATTATCTCATAGTAAGTCTGCTATGCAGATTCAAAATCTCACTGGACTGCTTAAACAACTTGTTGAAATAGTCTTTTTCTTTAAGAATTCAAAAATTTCTGATCTAGAAAGTTAAATAAAAGAATTTTAGAGCTGGAAACAACTTAGTTATCTAGTCTAACCTCCTTATTTTAAATAAAGGAACTGAGGCCCAGAGGAGCAAAATGATTTGCCTCAAAGCGTGTATGTCAGGTGATAAAAAATAAACAACTTTCTTAACAGGTCTCTCAAGCAGAGTTAAAGGCATAATTACAATATTAAAGCTTAAAAAAATCAGGTAAAATCTCACTAAAATGGTATTATTCCTGATGTAATATTAATTAGTCTTAAAATTTCTGCATGCTTTTACTAATGCATATTTCCCCCTCTTTCTTGTAGGAATCTGTTGCTTTGAGACCATCGATCCGATTTCAAGGAAGCCAAGGGGTAAGCTCTTTTTTATTTGGGTAAAGAGAGAGAATTTAAATATATAATTCCTCTCCCAAAGTAAGAATTCCCTTCTACAGCATCTCTGATAAGTGGTCATCCAGCAGCTTTAAAAGCTACAGGTTGATCTTATTATATATTTAAAAACAAAAGCAAGCCATACATGACAGAACCCTGTGGTTTCATTTCATGTACAGTCCTCTTTTTCTGTTCTCGTGTGTCTATGCAGGTGCCCATTCTATTTGGTTAAGTTCAGAATTAAAAATAAAAACTAAAAAACAAAACAAGTACACTTCCAGGCTCTGTTTGAACACTTTCAGTGACAAGCTAGGTCCTTCCCTATCTACTGTGTCCTTTTTTTGTTAGTTGTAGATGTTAGGAAGTTCTTGAAATCATGTGCCCACCTGGCTCTAACTGCTCAACCCATTGATCTTAGTTAGGTCTGTCCTGTGAAGCCATGAATTTAATAATTCCCATTTAACATCACTGCCCTTCAGATACCTAACAACAAATAGATATGTGTGTGTGTGCCTTGAGTTTCCTCCATCCCACCAGCTATCCCTAGCTTCTCCTTCAGCCTTTCCTTGTGTCATCGTTTCCAGATCTCTCACCTTTTCATGGTGCTTTCCTTGCTATGTCCCATTTTGCATGGGCTGGTGGAGAAGCCAGAGACTTGGGTTTGGATTTAGGCTGTGTCATTTAACTAACTGTGACTTCACCTAACCTGACCCCCAGTTTCTTCATCTGTAATTTAGTTAAAATGTTTTAAGTGACTATTGCTTGTTTGCAAGGCATTGCACTAGGCTCTGAAAAATGAAGGTGATGTTAATGTCACCGTCTCCCACATCAGAATTGTGAAGTATTTTATAGATTATCACCTTTGATCCTAGTACCAGCCTTAAAAAGTATTATTTATAAAACGTATGTCAAATTATGCCTCTCTGACTAACTGTGGGCAAATAACTTAACCTCTCTGCGTTTCAGTTTTCTCATTTGTAAAATGAGAATAATCCCTGGGGTACCTGTTTCTTGAGGGTGGTTGTGAAGATGGAGAAGAAGGAAGGGAACAAGCATTTTATATAGTCCCAGGCACTCTGCTGGGCACTTTATAAATGATTTCATTTGATCTTCATAATAACCCTTTGAGGGTAGGTGCTGTTATTATGAGGCAAACGGAAGTGAAGTGTCTTACACAGGGTCACACAGCTGTTAAGTATCTGAGGCCAGATTTGAATCCCGGTCTTCCTGACTCCAGGCCTGTTGCTCTACCCACTGTACCCTCTAGCTTCCCCAAGATTACAAGAGATCGTGTATTTAAAGCACATCTATAAACCTTCAACATTATAGACATGTTTGCTGCTATTATCATTCCCGGTTTATAAATGAGGAAGCAGGCCCAGAAAAGTGAAATGACTCCCCCCAGAATGCCCAGTGAATCAAATGTGTGAGCTGAGACTTTTAGCCCCAAGTACAGGCAGGGCTCTTCATTGGGCCTCCCAATGCTTTAATCACCAGTGACCTCAGTTTATGTAGAATGTTAACAGCAGATCAAGGAGTGGAAAGCTTAGCTAATGACCAGTGATGAATAATTATCTAGACAGTGGTGCCAATAGAAGAAAAACAGAAAGAAAATTGTTCTTATTAGTCTCTGAGAGCAAGGGGAAGACTGAAGGTAGCAGTCATGGCACCCTACCCTGTGCCATTAGTGAAAACTTATTAGCCTAGTGCTGCTCTGGGGGTGAGGAGTTACAGAGGACAAACCTTTAGCTGTGCCTCAATGGCATGGGAACTTGTTGAGCACCTGCATCCAAAGAGATCATCATGTAGACCACAGAGGCCCACCAGGCAGTGGCATGTATTTGTGACATGTACTGACAGGTGAAAGGGTCTTGCCATGTAATAATACTGAAAGACTTTTGGTTGCCTCTATGATTGTGCAAATAGTACTTTAATGCATTTTAACAGTGTCATTTATATCATTGAATAGCCCCTAGAAGGTATTTTAAAATATTGGGATCCTGCTTGAAGAGGAATAAAATAATGTATTTCAAAAAGACTCCTTTGTGTTTTATACTAATATTGAATCAAAAAATTCTGCAGTTAGAGGGGACTTTAACATAGCATTTCAGAGGAAGAAGGGACCTGATATAGCCATGTTAGCCCAACAATTTCACTTTTACAGAAAAAGAAACTGAGGCCCAGTAAGGGTGAAATACCTTGTTTAGGTACACAAAGAAGCAGGGCTTGGACTAGAACTTAGATCTCCTAGTCAGGGCCCTTTCTCATATACTCCCATCCATACTCCCTTTCCCATATATTCCCATGCCATGTGTATGTTTTATTAACTACCTTGTTGTTTTTGTGGAATTCTCTAGCCCTGACTGGAACTGGGAAAGAAGCATAACTCTTCTTGACGTTCTTTCAGATAGCTTCTTCTTCAGTAATAAAAATTTTCTCCATCCCTAAGCTTTGTCAGTCTAGCATTCGTATGAACACCAGTATCAGAATCAGCATCTCAAAGTTGAGAGAGCTTAAGATACCCTCCCCAGTGCTCAGAGCTTTTCTCCAGCATCCTCAGTAGGGGTCATTCAGCCTTTGCTTGAAGACCTTCAACGAACGGGATAGGCAATGAGCTGTCTCAGAATTTGGATTACATAAAATTAAAACTTTTTACACAAACAAAACCAATGTAGCTAAAATTAGAATAAAAGTAAGTAAATGGGAGGAAAATCTTTGTAGCAAGTTTGTCTGATAAAGGTCTTATTTCTGAAATATTTAGGGAGCTAGAGCCATTCTCCAACTGATAAATGGTCAAATGTCAGTTTTCAGAGGAAAAAAAATCCAAGCATCAATAGTAATATGAAAAAAAATTGCTCTTAATCACTAATAATTAGAGAAATGCACATTAATGCAGCTCCAAAGTACCACCTCACATCCATCAGATTGGCAAAGTTGATGAAAAAACGGAAAATGAAAAATGATGGAGGGCCTATAGGAAAATAGGCACAGTTGGTCCAGCCATTCTGGAAAACAATTTGGAGCTATGCTCCAAAAGCTATTAAACTGTGACTACCCTTTGACCCTGCTACTAGGTCATTACCCTCAAAGAGATCAAAGAAAGAGGAAAGGGATACACATACACAAAAATATTTATAGCAGCTTTTTTTGTGGTGGCAAAGAATTGAGAATTGAGAGGCTGCCTATCATTTGGGGAATAGCTGAATAAGTTGTGGCAAATGAAAGCAGTACTATTGCACTGTAAGAAATGATGGAAAGGATGGTTTCAGAGAATCCTGGAAAGACTTGTATGAACTGATGTAGAGTGAGGTCAGTAGAACTAGGAAAACAATTTCTACACTAACAATAATATTGTAAAGACAAACAACTTTGAAAGAGTTAGGAACTGTGATCAGCATAGTGACCCACCTCAGTTCCAAAGGACCAGTGATGAAACTTGCTACCCATCTCCAGATAGAGAGCTGTGTAGATCTACTCAGTGTAGATCAGGGCATTTTTTGGGACATGGCCATTGTAGGTATTTGTTTTGCTTGACTATATACATTTGTAATGGACTTTGTTTTTCTTACTTTCTCAGTAAGGGGAGGGGAAGATGGAAGGGAGAGATTTCAGAACAAAAAAAGAAGGTAAAATTGAATGGTTGGAGGGAAAAAAAAAAAAGAAAATTGACCGTCTCATGAAGCAGCCCATCCTGCTGTTGTGTCTCTAGGGAGTTCTTTATTGACCTGCACTCTGCCTACCTATATTTTCCACCCATTTGTCCAAATTTTCCTTTCTGAGCCACATATAACATGACTTCCCTCTTTTCTATGACAGTTCTTCTGATATTTGAAGGTGGCTATCATTTTTCTCAAGGCATGTTTTTCTAGACTACATATCACCATTTCTTTCAACTTCTTCTTGTGATGTCAATCAATAAATATTTATTAAGCTCCTGCGGTGGGCCAGGCACCGTACTAAGCACTGGGGATACAAAAAGGGGCAAGGAACAGTCCCTGCTCTCAAGGAGCTCACAATCTAATGGGGGAGGCAATATGCAAACAAATATATACAAAACAAGGTATAGACAGGATAAATAGGAAATAAATAACAGAGGGAAGGCACTAGAATCGAGGGGTTGGGAAGGCTTTTAATTGGGACCTAAAGGAAGCTCAGGAAAGTAGTCGGCGGAAATGAGGAGGGAGAGTATTCCAAGCATGAGGAACAGCTAAAGAGAATGTCTAGTACATGATTTAGAATCCCCCTTCTCTATTCTTGTCACCCATGGCAATCCTTTTCCATGTCTCATTGAATTACAGAATTTTAGGACCTGATGTGATCTTAGTGGTAAAGACTAGTCCTATCTTTGTAAGGATGAGCAGTGTGAAACATGGAAAAATTGTGTCGTGACCAGAGTCTCGCTTCTAATACTTTTAGCATTAAAAAACAATTAAATTTAAAAATTTCTATACTCTGTGCTTCAGTAAAGTATCTCTTCATAGCTTAGACATGATTTAGAGTTTGCTCACTGCTGGGTCATTTGAGATCAGAGTAACATAAGATAAGGCATTTAAAGCAATGCTAAGCAAGCCAATTTTTTTTCTTAGCACCATAAGATTATATTGCCTGTGCTTATTGTAGAAAACAGATACTCTTAACCAGTATATGAGCCTCTGAGAGGGAAAGCACAATGCCTGGCACATACAAAACACTTAATAAATGCTTGTTGACATTTTGATTTGAAGATTTATTTTCATACTATAGAATGACAATGGACATCTAAGTGATGTCAGAGAAAATTTTAAGTATTTTAATTTACGAAAATAACATGGTTATCCATTAAATATAATGAACACACTGTATGACCCTGGACAGGTCACAACTTCTGTTTCATTTTCCCCATCTCTCATATGGGGATAATAGCACCTTCCTCACAGGGTTGTTGTTAGGATTAAATGAGATAATATTTGTAAAGCACTTTGTAACCCTGAAAGCATTATATA